TAGCATGCACAGTTTCCTGAAGGTCTTGGTGCCTATTTTTCTGTAATCTGTGAAAGTCCTATTCCTTTTCTTTTCCACACAATCTACTATTTGAATAGTTCAGGTGTCCTGCATATATTTCTATACTTTTCTTGGCCACAAGCAACTGCTTTAATGAAAAGTAGATACCTGATCTTATTATGCTGGTTAAACCACAGTGCAGGTCAAAGCTGCCTCCTTTTCTGTTCCATCTCCATTATACACTTTGCTCGTTTGGTTTTTGAACACATGCCAACTCTTCTCAAAGATATTTCTCTGGGCTCTAATATTCATTTGTTTTCTATATTTATAAATGTAAACACTATGTAATTTCCCCAAGTGACTGAATCACCCTGAAACTACCTAAAAAATGATTTCAAAAGTGCAAATGATTTGGGAGCCAGAGGTAGTAATATTAAATCCATTTACAGGACAGAAAGAGGCAGAATTGTAAAGGGAGACTTTATCTCTTGTTTCCAAATAAACATGTATACTCACTGATATAAGAGTAGGAATACTTCCTATTCTACTAATGGCTGCGGAAGTGACCCAGAACTCTTATCTCAGCTTTCTCTCTTCATAGAGATAAGAATACTTGTCACAATCTTTTCAGATGATGGAAAAAGATGACTAGATCAGTGATTATGAACCAGTCTGAGCTCTTTGTTAGTAGGATGACTGTACAATGGAATTACCATTAATTTTATAGGTGTGATAATGGTATAGTGTATGTTAAAAAAAAAATCTGTTAAAGATACCTAGAGAAGTATGTACCAATGAAATAATATGATGTCTGGGAAGGAATTCACATAGTTCTCAAAGTCAGGGTCAAAACACTTTGTACATCAGGTATTGCAATAACTGGGAAGAAGGCATCTGAGTGTTAAGCACTCTGATGTATTTAAAAGACTAGAATTCCTTAACATACTTTTGTTGATATAATATATGCACATGAAACGTGACAAGTCTCTTTTTGGTCAGGTAGAATAAAAACACAGGTGTCTAAGATTAGCTAATGGGGAAAAAAAACCTTAAAATTCTAAACTGATTAAAGATATAAATAGGCAGGCATTGAAACTGAGAGAATCAATGGGAGTGGAGGAGAAATGAACAAGACTGATGAAAGGACAGAACAAACAAGAAGTTTCAAAGGTTGATGCTGAAAAGAGGAAATGACTCAGTCACAGTTTAGGAAGGGAATTCCAGTTAGGTGAGTTGTAGGTGAGACTGGGAAAGCTCATTACCTACAGAGAACAAGATTCTAGGAGCTAACTGCAGACTGTCCTTGGAGTCATGTACACAAAGCACAACATCAATACTGTAAAAAATAATCTCCCAATAGAGGAGAAAATTTTGGTGTCTTTTACTATTAGTGCTCATGACAGTTCTGGTCATTGAACCTCAAGAGATAACTGGTACAATGGTAGCAAAAACTGGTAAAAAAAAAAAGACTGAGGTGAAGGAAAAATATTCATATTAGTCTAGTATGAATTTAAGTTATTCATCAAACATTTATTGGGGATTTCACTGTCCCAGGCACTGGGGGTACAGTTTTCAACAAGAGGGGCATAGGTCCTGCCCCTCTAGGCTACAATCCTGCAGATAAATGGCTATGATCTGGGAAGAATATGGTTTAGGATTGCATTGTTGACATTTATAAAACCATGGACAAAGTGAATCCAGACATGTTCAACTGGAATTCTTCAAATAGGGAGTGTAAGAGACAGATCTGGATAAGACTTTGAGGAAGTAAGGGTGCTTGGTGCTAAGTAATTTGCCTAAAACTAGACTGGAAAGTCTGTGAAGGCAGAGATTATGTCTGTTTGATTCATAGTGGTTCACCAGCGACTTACAGAGCATCTGAAAAATAGTAGCCAATCCAGAAATTAAAAAAAAAAAAGTAAATAAGTGAAGCAAATATTTGCAGTACCTGTTATGTGACTGTCTTGCTTTCATAGTGTTTAGTATGAGTGTCACCGAGGAGTACATAGACAGACAATTTAAATACAATGTAATAAGTATTAGGAGTTAAGCATGGGATACTATTAGGATACTATACTAAATAATTCACGGATCTGGAAAGCTTCTTGGAGGAAGAAATACTTGAGATGAGTTTTGAAGGAAGAAGGGAAGGAAATCCAGTTGGATACAGCATGTATTAAATTCTTGTGGAATGAAACAGCATTACACATTTGAGGAACCCAAAACGGTGCTGCAGATTAGCTGGAGAGAATGGGATACCATGATGGTGTGATGGTAAATTAGGCAATAAGGACTTTTATATACTATGCTAAAATTTGGGCTTTATCGTAAGTCTGGTGATCATTAATATATTTTAAGCAGAGAATGATAGGATCAGATCGGACTTTTGAAGATCACTCAGGCATCAGTGGTAGTGGAAGGCGGGGGAACAGTAAAGGTGGGAAGGTTTAAATTAAGACATGTATGAAGATATGGAATAGATATAAAAGATATTACTGAGAAAGGGATTGGATGAGGGGGCCAAGTGAAGGAAAGGTACTAGAATGACTGCCAGGCCTCAGGTTTGAATGTGGTGCCACTTAATATGATAGGTAATAGAAGAGCAGAGTTTGGTCTTTTTTGAAGGTGAGTGGGGAGGAAAAAGGATTATAAATCCAGTCTTCACTTGAACTTGACATACCAGCAGGAAATATTAGTGGATATGCTTCTCTTCTTTTGATGCCAACGTAAGGGAGATCAGTCACACCCTCTCACAAATTTTTCTTGATGTATATGGGTCTTGAGGCAGTACAGTATTTTTGAACTTTTTACGTGCTCTGAGGCCCCTCGCAAATGAACAAGATTGAATGAGCAGGTTGTATGTTGGTTGCTATGAAATGGAGAAATAGTTCTTAATCATCCTGTGACCTCAGACATCATTTCATACGTAAATAAAACATGGCAGCATGGGTAACAAGTCCAATTCACTCTCCATTAAACTATAATAACAGTAAAGCAGACATGATAAAATAAGATGTACTACTTTATCTCTTGGAAATTACACCGAGTGGTCGTGTATATTCCATAGTGAAAATTTTATGGGTAGTAGAGAAGCGAAAAATTTGAATGCAATAAATGTTATATGCGATTTTCCTGCATAGCTGTAATTAATGAATCTTTTTTCCTTATTGTTGTTAAATATCATTTTTGCCCTATTTTTTAACCAAATGGTTATTAGCTACATTAACTTTTAGAAACTTACTAGTTCATTAAGGATGTTTCCATGCAACCTAAGCACATAAACACACACACTACGGTACTTAAAAGATTAACCTTGTCTTTTATGTGTATATTACATTCACTAAAACAACACAGGAAAACATTTTTAGCCGTTCATCTAGGGTTTTAAATTGTCTTCACAATGCTCTTATTTTCTATTTCCATCAAAAGATTCTGTTATGAATGACAATATTTGTGAGCTCATTCACTTCTAAAATATCAAATTGTTAGTTTAACCAGTCCCCTCCAGTTTTCTTTCTCCCTCTGCCCACTATCAAGATCTAAAGATTTTCACCTTCTCTTCTCCCAAAAGAAAAATGAAAACAATCGCTACTGCTCCCCTGTCAAACTCACCAAACACAACCCACCCCAGAATAGGAAAGAAGGGAGGCAAAGTGGTACAAGCTGCGACGCGCGACAGGGAGCACAGAACTGGGACCAAAGCCCAGAGACAGAGAATCAGTCTCCACGTCCGGGAAGATCTGGGCTCTTTGCCAAAAGAGAACGTCCCCAAAGCCCCGGGAACTGCCTGGTGCTAGGAAACCAGAGAAAGAGAGAGTGACAGGCAGAGAAAGAGGCCCGACCCTCTGGGACTGCCAGAAAACACGCAAGGAATGCAAAAGAAACGTCAGGAATCCGGGACCGGCTGCGGCCGGCCAGAGCGACCAACTAGGTTAAAACCCAGCTCCAAAGGCAGGCGCGCCGCTGAGACCTTTGGGTAGGGAACGGCGCTGGGGACTGACTGAGAGAGGGATACGGATTCCTGGGAAGGCAGAGACCAACTCTCTTCCAAAGATTGGATTCGGTGGCCCACCGTCCGGACTCCACCGCCAGAATCCCGCAGCGAGCCTGTGGGGCGGGCTTAGGGGCGGGGCCGAATCTCCTTCCCCGCCTCTAACGGCAACCCGACTGCGTCCTCAGTACGCTTGCGTAGGGGGAGGCCGGACTCTATTTGGCTAGTAGGCGAGTGGCGGCAGTGGCGTTCTCTACCCGGCATGCTGCGCGGGAGCGGCGGCCCTACGTCTCTCTCCTTCCCAACCCTGCACCCCCTTCCCCCTCCCGCCGCGGCCCCCCCCTCCCCTAAAGTGAGTGAGTGAAACTGGCAGATGGAGGAGGGACTGTAATGGCGGCGGCCGGCAGCTCCCTGCTCTGACCTACGGCAGGCATTCAGCAACAGCCCCCTCCCCGCCCCTCTCCCAGCCGGCCTCCGCCCCGCCGCCAGCGCGGGGCCACCCTCCCCGGCCCTTCCCCCAGCAGTCGGCGTCTCGCCCTGCGCCCCGGCCGGGGCCCCACACACAATGGACGAGCTCGCCGGAGGCGGTGGTGGCGGCCCAGGGATGGCGGCCCCTCCACGGCAGCAGCAGGGACCTGGGGGGAACATGAGCCTTTCGCCCGGGGGGAATGGAGCGGCGGGCGGCGGGGGTGCTCCGGCCGCCGAGGGAACGGGTCCCGCGGCAGGCCCAGAGCTGTCCCGGCCGCAGCAGTACACTATCCCAGGGATCCTGCACTACATCCAGCACGAGTGGGCTCGGTTCGAGATGGAGCGGGCGCACTGGGAGGTGGAGCGGGCCGAACTGCAGGTACCTCGCTGGGGTCGGTGTGCGGGACGGCTGCGGCGGCGGGGTTCCCGGCCGGGGGGTGGGGGTGGGGGGTGGGGGGTGGCGCGGATATGGGGGTGGGGGGTGGGGCCGGCACTCCCCTCAGTCGGAGCTCGAGGCCTTGGGAGGCCGAGAGAAACCTACCTGTGCGGCTCAGGGGGCGATGGTCCTGGCGACGGCTCTTCCTCTAGCCCCCCTCCCCCCTTCCCGCAGAAGCTTGTTACCCAGTCCTCACTAGCTGCGCGGTGCGGGCTTCCTTGGGGCAGCCATTTTGGCTTTTAGTATGGCGTCTGCGGGGGCTCCTCCGGAGGCGGCCTGCGCGGGTCTCCGGGGCTTGGGGCCGAGTTCCTCTCTGTGGGAGAGAGTCCGGCGAGGGGCTGTTGGGCACTGAGCTTGCTCTTGTTTGTGCCTCTTGAGATGGAGAACCGGAGGAAAGGGATTGGGACGGGCATTTTACCGCCTTTACCCGGATCACCCCCCTTTTCCGATTTGGCATGTCTGCCCCCCTCCCCCGGAGTTGATAACCCTTACTCCTTGACAGCCACGCTTCTTTCCAGGGCTGCTACCGAGCACAATGGCTTGCGGCTGATCTGTGAAGTTTTCATTTCCTACCGCCAACTTTAAGTACCTTCTTACCTGGGATGCTGCCTTATTTACTTAGATTCCCTTTGAGTTCTTAGTGACTGACTCATCAACGCTTCTCTGTACTGAATTTTTCTTTTTAGAATACCCTTCACCGTCCTCCATCCCCTTCTTTACACATAAAAAGCCAAACCAGAATATCTGTGCCGTCTTTATGAAGATTTAATATTAACTTGGAGTAAAGCGTACTTGTCTCACGTTACCAACTCACGCAGGGGAAGCAAAGTTAAATATCCTCAGGATCCTTCATAATTGAGCCGGACTCAGTCTTAAGGTGAAACTTTGATAGGTTGGTTTACCTAACTTTTGGAAGATTGTTGGTGTTTTAAGGACTTATGTCTTGTATTTCAGAAGGACTACATCTTTTTTAAAGTATTGTTCAGCTCTTCTGGGTGTTTGTGTTTATTTTAAAATCACTTTCTAAGGCAAATTTAGGCTTAGAAGAAAAAAGGCATGCATCTAAATAGTGTTGCACCTGTTCTTCAGACTGGTATATATTTAGAATGTAAGTAGTATTGTTCGCTGACATACATGTCATATATGCCTGGGGTGAATGGTTAGGGAAATGCAGTGTTGAAAGAAGGAAGATTGGATTAGCTTAAAAAGGGTGTCCTCAAACAAATATGTATATCTTCAGTTTGATTTTGAACCAGTCGACTTTTATTTGTCTCTACAAAGTTGGGAAAGTTAAACTTTTGAAAAGTAAGAAACATATATTTTGACACTTTACCAAGTCTTAAGAAACTTAATTATAAATTAACACCTGTTAGTCAATTCAGTGTTTTAGTGCTTTGATACACTATTGGGCTCTTAAAAATATAACATTTAAAAAGCTAAAGTCAAAATTGTTTTTTTTGTGTGTGTACTCTGCTTTAAAATATCTGGGATGTATAGAGTTCTGTTGATGTACAACTTTTACAACACCATGTGCAAACTTAATATTCGGTGTGAGGCATTTATTTTTTAAAATTGCATTTACTAATGCATTGAGGCTTGGGCTCACTAAATAATATTTCACCAGTCCCTGATACAGTGTTTATAACCTTTGTATTGTTATAAAAAAGCTTGAATTTAAACACTTTTCAAGTTAGCAATTGCATTAGTCATTCATAAGTTTCACTGGTGTAAGTAGCTGAAAAATGTCTTGTGTCTAAATTAGTAAAAAATCTGTACAGCAGTGAGGTCTATCTATATTGTCTACCCTAGCCCTTGCTTTCCCTTCTAATTCTCTTCTTGACCGAAGTCTTTTAAGGAAGATTGATTTTGCTTGCTTGCTTTCAGTTTATCTGCAGTTGGCATATTAGTTCTGATATAGTCCTTCTAAACTTTTTTGGTTTGCTTTTTTTTGAAGAAGTTCTGCAGTGTTTCTAGACTCTTAACTTTTTCCAGGAATTTTTATTATTTCACACTGATTCTTTTGGAATAAAATGTTCATGATTGTGTATTTTTGCTCTGTATATTTCTCTAAAATGTTTTATTGGGCTAATTAGTTAATAGGATTTTAGGTTTGCTTCTGGAATGCTGAATTTGTTTTACACGTCTTCAGTCTTTAGTAAGAATGCTTGTGAGATGCACATTTTAAAATGTATGTGTTGAATAAAAAATTTATTGGGAAAGTTCAAGTGAAGCGTGAATGGATTTAAATTGTAAACTTAAACTTAATTTTAAGAAAGATAACAGAAATAAGAGAAGTTGCATATCGTTATGGTATACATCCTTCGGTACACTGTTCATCTATACATTATTTAAAGTATTCAGTATTAAAACTATTCAATAATGAATACAACGAGCCTAAGGTATACCTCACTTTGATATAAAATTTCAGTGTGGAATTAAATTTCCTGGCTTTGGAAAGGATTTTAAACTGGAAGTTTGCATTATGGTTCTCTTCCCTGTAAAAGGAATTTTGGGTAAAGGTCTTTCTTAGAAGATTGGAACTAAACCAAAGGATGTCTTAACGCTCTTTCATCTTTGTGATGGTTCCTTACCTGGGACTTAGGTAAAGCTTTGTTAATAAGGCTCTAGGACAGTGATTTCTAGAAGAGAGTGCTAGTGGTAATCACTTGTAAAACTATAAAAAGTATGCAGGCCTTTGTCTCATCCTCCAGAGATTTGGATTGATTTGGTCTAGGACTTGGGAAAAAATGTACTGGACTGCTTGTGGGATTTTGGCAGTCACATTAAATAGAAATTATAACTGCCATTTCATCAGCACTACAACCTTATGCGGTAGGTATCATTTCTATTTTACAGATGAGGAAACACAAACAGTTTAAATAACTTTGCCAGCTATAAAGTATTGCAGCTGAGATTTGAACCCAGGTTTATCTGAATCCAAAGGCTTTGTTTGGTCTTATTACCACTCTTGAAACCATTGTGTTGTATTGTTGTTTTGGTATTTTTTGTAGAAATGGAATCTGCCTTGTAATTCATTATGTGGCATACACCACTTCAGTACATTTCAAAAAAGTTGTATTGAGCCCCATGGCATGCCAGGTCTAGTTTATATATATTGCAAATATGTCCTTATATTTTTTTCTGTAGTTAGTGTGTAATAAATGCACTTATGGTATATACAAAATGCTTGTGTGCCAACTATAAAAATACAGCATAGGTAATACATAGAAAATGTAGTCCTGGAGTTTGTATTCTAAAATTACTAATTCTCCAGCAAATGTAAACTTTTTTTTTTTTTTTTTTTTGCGGTACGCAGGCCTCTCCCTGCTGTGGCCTCTCCCATTGCGGAGCACAGGCTCTGGACAAGCAGCCTCAGTGGCCATGGCTCATGGGCCTAGCCGCTCCACGGCATGTGGGATCTTCCCGGACCGGGGCACGAACCTGTGTCCCCTGCATCAGCAGGAGGACTCTCAACCACTGCACCACCAGGGAAGCCCAAGTGTAAACTTTTAATTAGTGTTTGTGTTTGCACACTCTGGCAAACAGATTTGTCATAACGTGACAGCTATTGCCACCTAAAGATCTTAATAGGAGATGTTTCTCTCAGACATAAGCTGATTTCTTCATTTTTAATGGGGGGAGGTAATTGTTTCCCTTTTAATCTTTTATTGCCAGGGTTTTCTTAGGGTAGTCTAGAATAATGATTTTCAAATCCTTGTTCCTTTTCTATTACAAGATTTTTATAAATCTATGAAATTATACAAAATAAGAACAGTATAAAGATTTTTCATAAAGGCGTTCCTTTTATTCTGAGAGTTTTAGCCTTCATAAAGACTTGCTGTTATGCAGTTTTCCTTTTTCAAATGGTGGTGACAGTAGAGTAAAAAAATTTTTATTTGATAGAATTAAGAGTCCACAATCTTATGTCATATTCTCCCTGTTTCTTTTTTGAAGTCCTTGGAAACAGAAAGTCTAGGGACCCCTAATCTAGATTTCTTTTCTCCATTTACCCCTTAATCCTGCTGTATAGTCTTTTTTTGCTCTCTCTCCTTATACCTAGCTAAGCACTTTGTAGAACACTTCTTTCTGTTGGTGATTGACCTTCAAATTGCCAAATCTTGAGGCCTTCTTACAGATTATATGCACTTAACCAACACTTTCTGCTTTTGACAGTTTCTTCCTCAAAATCCTTTTCTTTGACCTATATTCTGTAATTTCTTATTTTCCCTTTGGTCCACTTATCACTTTTCATATGTTTCCTCTCCTTTGGTCTCAGTTATCATTACTTGGGGTTCTGGTTCTTTTTGTTTTCACTGTAAATTTCGAAATATACTGTGTTTTTTGTTTTTGTTTTTCGCTGTTATTCCGATGCTTCAGTATTTAGTCTTTTAATCCTAAAAAAACCCAATGAGGTGAGCACAATTGGTTTCTTTGGTTGTTGGTGGGGTTTTTTTTTTTTTTTTTTGACACTAGACTATTGGGGCCTGGAGGTTAAGTAATCTGCCTAAGATCGTATAACTAGGAGTAGCAGAGCTGGGATTTAAACCTAGGCAGACTGACTCTAGAGGCCATGTTCTTAGTCACTACTGTATTTTTTACTTTCAGATGTCTCAGATGTATTTCTAACTTCCTGTTTAAATTTTCTACTTCAAATTCAATATATCCATTATTCAGTTCACCTCAAATGCCTGCCTCTTTCCCCCACAAAAGACACTTAACTTGTTTATTCTCCTTTATTCCGTTAATTTTTTTTTTAATAAATTTATTTTATTTATTTATTTTTGGCTGCGTTGGGTCTTCGTTGCTGCGTGCAGGCTTTCTCTAGTTGAGGCGAGCAGGGGCTACTCTTCGATGCAGTGCGCAGGCTTCTCACTGCAGTGGCTTCTCTTGTGGTGGAGCATGGGCTCTAGGCATGCAGGCTTCAGTAGTTGTGGCATGTGGGCTCAGCAGTTGTGGTTTGTGGGCTCTAGAGCACAGGTTCAGTAGTTGTGGCACATGGGCTTAGCTGCTCCGCAGCACGTGGGATCTTCCCAGACCAGGGCTTTAACCCGTGTTCCCTACGTTGGCAGGCAGATTCTTAACCACTGTGCTACCAGGGAAGCCTCCCTGTTATTGCTAATGTTTATTATCATCCTTCCCATTGGCAGATGCTAAAGAGATCAATGGGTCCTTCTAAAAATGTTGAGTCTTTGGGTCTTATTGATTCTAGTATGATTATTCAGTGAATATATTTCAGTGTTATTTTG